GAGGGCCTCTTCGCTGACCCCGAGCCCTTCTCCCCGTCCATCTTTCTCGATCTGCCCCCGACGCCCCGCCCCGATGGCAACGGCGAGGTCCCGGCCTCGTCGGACGACCTCGTCCTCCCCTTCATCTCGCGGATCCTCATGGAGGAGGACATCAACGACCAATTCTTCTACCAGTTCCCCGACCACCCCGTGCTCCTCCAAGCCCAGGAACCGTACGCGCAGATCCTCTCTGACGCAGCCACGGCTCGCACCAACAGCGCCGCCTCCTGGGGGTCCCCCGCCACCGTCTCGCCGTCCTCCTCCGACGGCCCAGCCCAGCTCCTCCTGTCCCCGCCGTACCCCGATATGGGACTGCACGGCTTCACCGAAGACGGTGTCGGCACCTTCTTCTTGCCCGCACAAGATGGTGGCAGCCCGGAGTTGGAGCAGAGTCCGGCGCAGTTAAGGGCCACAACCTTGCCCGCCGGCGACGGCGACCACGCGGCGCTGGCCTCGGTCTTCTTCAACAGGGGAGTCGCGGACGCGGAGATGCTCAACAAGGCATTCCTCAAGGGTATGGAGGAGGCCAAGAAGTTCTTGCCCACCACCAACAGCCTCCTAATCTACCGTGAGGCAGAGGAGGAGGGGATTAATGGCAGGGGCCGCAAGGACAGGGACAGGCTCAATTGGGATGACTTGGAGGCTGAGACGTGCAGGAAGAGCAAGCTGATGGTGCCCGAGCCTGAGGAAACTGGCCAGGTGGTAGATGAAATGATTGTCAATGGACTGAAATTGTGCCTCAAAGAAATGGAGGCCCTGCGAATCTCCATGGGCAGTGAGGCTAAGAAGAAGGCAAGGAAGGGCAAAGGGAAGTCGGCACAGGGAAGGTCTAGCTCCAACGAGGCGGTGGAGCTGAGCACCTTGCTCATCCACTGTGCACAGGCCGTGGCCACGGACAACTGCCGGAGTGCGACCGAATTGCTGAGACAGATCAAGCAGCATTCCTCACCGAAGGGTGATGCCACACAGAGGTTGGCACATTGTTTTGCAGAGGGATTGGAGGCGCGGCTGGCAGGGTCAGGGAGCCAGCTCCACAGGTCTCTCATGGCTGAGCGCATCTCGGTCGTGGAGTACCTCAAGGCCTACTGGTTGTACCTGGCAGCTTGCTGTTTCAAAATGACGGCATTCAGGTTCTCCAACACGACAATCCTCAAGGCCATCGCTGGGAGGAAAAAGGTTCACATCGTGGATTACGGCGTGGATTATGGGGTTCAGTGGCCAACTTTGCTATACCGTTTGGCGGCCTTGGAGGGTGGACCTCCTGAAGTGAGGATCACCGGCATTGATCTCCCCCAGCCCGGCTTCCGCCCAGCTGTGCGGATCGAGGAGACAGGGCGGCGGCTTAGCAGTTATGCTCGTCAGCTCGGTGTGCCATTCAAGTTCCACGGCATCACGGTGAGGTGGGACACAGTTTGTGTTGATGACCTGAACATTGACCCTGATGAGGTATTCATTGTCAACAGTATCATGCTGTTTGGAAATTTGATGGATGATGGGGTCGACATTGATAGCCCAAGCCCTAGGGATGTTGTCCTCAGAACCATTCGCAAGATGCAACCTGATGCGTTCATCCTTTATGTCATGAATGCCTCGTATAGTTCTCCATTCTTTGTATCACGTTTCCGGGACGTGCTGTTCTTTTACTCTGCAATGTTTGACATGCTGGATGCCACGGCTCCACGGGATAGTCACCAGCGCTTTTTGGTTGAGCGGGTCCTCTTTAGGCAGTGTAGCCTCAATGCTGTTGCCTGTGAGGGCACGGACAGGGTGGAGCGTCCGGAGACATATAAGCAATGGCAGGTGCGGAACCACCGGGCAGGGCTAAGGCAACTTCCATTGGATCCAGATATTGTAAAGACCATGAGGGACAACGTTAGGGATCAGTATCACAAAGACTTTGTCATTGATACGGATCATAACTGGCTCCTGCAAGGATGGAAGGGACGCATACTCTATGCCATGTCGACATGGGTTGCAGATGATGCTGTCTCAGAACTTTAGCTGCTTTTCTCACCACATATGTTTCTGAATTTTTGTCTTACCAATGAACTTCATGAGCTGCTCAGCAGCTGTGGTTCAACACGCTTTCTTACCCACCACCTTGCCTGTCTAGAAGGGTGGAAGGTACACATACTCTGTGCCATGTCGACATGAGTATCAGAATTCAGATGATGCTATCTCAGAATATTAATGGCTTTTCATCACAAGATACGGAGATATATGCCTCTGTTTTATGTGATTCAACACACTTTATTTGAAGATGCTTGGACATAAGCAGTAGATGCATTATAAATGTCTTCTAATAATGTAATAGTAGATGTTTGCTTGGGTGTTCTTGTTGTTTCTTATAGCTGCATAGGATCTTAGATTAGTTCTCAGTGTGTTGATACTGAACCTGTGTAAATGTACAACAAACTGAAAAATCACTTGTGGTTCCTGTATTGTGAAGTGCACTTTCTGTTGTAACATTGTATTCCCTTGCACCTGGAAAGCGTAAACGGGCACGAGAATAAGCATTAAAATTGCACATATTATTCTGTTATTCAGAGTATTGATTTTTTGCTTCTTTGTTTTTTGGTGATTGTTTCAAATGCAAACTTATTGGTACCATACTTTCCCCATTTCCTACCTAGTTTCAAATTCCTGGGGACGGTTTCTGCTGAATATTTTCTGAATTCTTTCATTCAGAGTACAGTTGAAAGAGGTGTTTCTGTCTTTTTCCTTTTTGGACTCAAACTATGGTAGGCTTATGCCACCTACCTGACTAAATCTTTTACTCAAAGCGTAGGAAGTGCAAATGATATAGTAGCATGCCCAGGTACAAGGGCCTTTCAAAGAAACTGTTTCTGCAATTTTGGGAGAGGTGCTGGATGGCATCTTCTTATATGTGATGATACATAGTAAATAGTATTACAAGTTGTGAGTTTCTGAACAAAGATGGACACATTATGGTCACTGTAAGCTTACAATGATCCTTTTATCATGATAATTTGTTCACAGTAGTACTAAGTTACTGGTGATTACAGAGAAAGGCCCACAGTTGGACATCTGCAAATTGGGCGTCAGTTAATTTTAGGACAGTTCTCTACCTATTGGGATTCACAATTTCACAGTAGTATGAACCTTGAGCTTTATATACGCATAAGAGATTCGGAGTAACAGTTTTTGCAATGATGCTTCCACATGTTCATCGGTTGATATCGAATCACTGGCTTACTGGTGTGTTGAATGCTGAACCTGCTAGGATTCCAGTAAGAATTTTGAGCTTTTGATCAAACTAGAGTAACATTGAACAAACTTCAGATCAGAGATGTTTGTTGTTTGCCTCAGTCATTTCTCACTCTATGTTTTTCTTAAGACAGTTTGTTTCTCTATGGAGTGTTCTACCTTATATACTCAAAAACTTCTTTCTTGGAAGGGTGTAGGCTCACGGTATGCATTTCTCTATCATTTTTATTTGTTTACTCTTCAGGGTTGGTACAGTAATAATTTTGTTCAAGGTTCCATGTTTATAGCAGGGTATGAACACCTGACCAAATGTGGACAATCTGATTGTTAGAAGCTGACATGTGCAGATTTGAAGAAGGTACAATTTGGTCAGTTTTTTGCTCTGTCCGTCCATTTATATATATGTTATATGACCTATGCATATGCAGCATGGGCAAATTCAGGATTATTTTGTACCCAACTGACAGGCCATAATTTAGTATCATGAATTTGGTGCAGTGTATTGTGTCTATGCTGCATTCTAGTAAGAAAAGGAAAAACTTTAGTAGGAAGAGAATAGTCAGTTACTCTGTTTCCAAGTACCAGGTGTTTGATACTGCAGAGACTATTGTCAAATGTCAAGCACCTAGCTAGGATTCCAGTAAGACTTCTGAGCTTTTGATCAAACTCTAACTTCGGATTAGAGATGTTTGTTGCTTGCCTTGGTCATTTATGACTTTGTTTTTCCGAAGACAGTTTCTTTCTATGGAGTGTTCTAGCATAGAGAATCGTACTGTTTTTTGGAGGGTGTAATAGGTTCACTCTATGCAGCTCTGTCATGTTTATTAATTTACTTTTCAGGTTTGGTACAGTAATAATTTTGTTCAAGAGTCCATGTTTGGAGCAGGGTATGAACATCTGAGGAAATGTGGGCAGTCTGATTTTTAGAGGCTGACATATGCAGATTTGAAGCATGTGCAACTTGGTCTGTCTTTTGCTTTGTCCATCCATTTATATATTATTCAACATGAGCAAATTCCGAATTTTGTTATGCCAGGTGAGAGGGACAGACCACAGTTACCTAATCATATTCATATATCAGGTGAGTGCATTGTGTGTTTGCTGCGTTCTATTAAGAAAATAAAAGAACATTTTGTAGGAAGAGAAGAGTCCATCTGTTTCAATAATGTAGCAGGTGTGTGATACCGCAGACTCTTGTCAACCACCGTGCCGATGGAGGAAGAAACTTGGCAATTTCAGGCAGAAGACTGTATGCAAATTGACGGCTCCGGAGGGTCCACGGAGGGGAGAAGATATTGGTTCATCAGCCAGCTAGCAGTGTTTTTCTCTCACACCAAAACAGTATCAGCCGGACTTATTAGCTCAGAAACTAACCAACGAACAAGCCGTGTTTTCCTCATACAATAAATCAGTACCAGCCGGACTTATCAGTCCAGAAACCCAGCAGCCAACAGGCCGAAAAAGAAGAATCGCAGCAGGGTCCATCACAGTTGCGTTTGGGCCTCTCGCCCTCATCTCATCTCGGAGCCGCCAAGGTCGTCGCATCAGAATTTTCAGAACGAACTTCTCTGCGCTTTCCCTTCCCACTCCCAGCTTCTCTCCCCTCCTTTCTCCCTCTGAAAAGAAAAGAAAAGAAAAAAGATTCCGTTTTTATCCATCCACCAGTCTACCACAACATTCAAAGCTTCCATTTTTTTTATCCCACCCAACCCAGACTACCCAGCCTGGCAGCCATGGCCGCCTCGCCGGAGGATTTCGTGGCTGACCCTGCCGAGCCCATCTCCCCCTCCATCTTCCTCGACCTGCCCCCGACGCCCTGCCCGGACGGCAATGGCGAGGGCAAGGACCCGGCCTCCGACGACCTCGGCCTCCCCTTCATCGAGCGCATGCTCATGGAGGAGGGGGTCGACGAAGAGTTCTTCTACCAGTACCCGGACCACCCCGCGCTCCTCCAAGCCCAAGAATCGTACGCGCGGGTCCTCTCCGACGCCACCGCGGATTCCTCTTCGGACGGCAGCCCCACCGTGTCGGTGTCCTCCGGCTCCGACGCGGGAGTGGGGGCCGACGACCTCACCACGGATGCCAGCACCGCGTCCGAGCAGAGCCCGGCGCAAGCGCAACTGGGGGATGCTGGCGTCCGGAGTGACGCTGCCGCCGCGGAGGAGATGGAGAAAAAGGCCAACCGTACCATGCTTGCAGCCGTCGATGGTGACCACGCCGCGCTGGCCTCGGCGTTCTTCAGCGCCCAGCAGGACGGGGGAAGCAACGCCATGCTCAACTTGGCATTCCTCAAGGGCATGGAAGAGGCCAACAAGTTCCTGCCTAGAGACATCGATCTGCTGCGTGGCTCTGCCACCATCCTTCAAGTGAAGGAAGAGGCAGAGGAGGAGGGAAATGCCAATTTGGGCAGGGGCCGCAAGAACCGGCACAACTGGGATGATGTCCTGGAGGCCAATTTGGGCAGGGAGAACAAGATGATTGTGCCAGAGACAGCATGATTGCCAATGGGTTCCAATTATTCCTCAGAGAGGTGGAGAGCCTCCGCATCAGTATGGGCAGCGAGGCCGAGAAGAAGAAGAGCAAGAAAGGGATTGCGCGGAGCACTAATGGAACGGTGGACTTGTGCACCTTGCTCATACATTGTGCACAGGCTGTGGCAACATACGACCGCCGGAGCGCGGCCGAATTTCTTAGGAAGATCAAGCAGCATTCTTCTCCACGGGGAGATGCCACACAAAGGCTGGCACATTATTTCGCAGAGGGATTGGAGGCGCGGCTGGCTGGTTCAGGGAGCCAGGTCTACAATTCACTCATGGCAAAGCGCACCTCGGTCGTGGACTTCCTCAAAGCCTACCGGCTGTACGCGGCAGCCTGCTGCTTCCGAGTGATGGCGTTCAAGTTTGCCAACTTGACCATCTGCAAGGCTATTGCAGGGAGGAAGAAGGTGCACATTGTGGATTACGGCATACATTACGGGTCCCAGTGGCCTGGTTTGCTCAAGTTTTTATCTATATGGCCGGGTGGGCCACCGGAAGTGAGGATTACTGGCGTTGATCTTCCCCAGCCTGGGTTCCGTCCAGCGTCTCGGGTCAAGGAGACAGGGCGGCGGCTTAGCAATTATGCCTCTCAGTTTGGCGTGCCGTTCAAGTACCATGGCATTGCGGCTAAGTGGGAGACGGTTGGCGTTGATGATTTGGACATCGACCCTGACGAGGTACTCATTGTCAATAGAATCCTCCATTTTGGAAACTTGATGGACGAAGGTGTCAACACGAGTAGCCCAAGCCCGAGGGATGTTGTTCTCAGCAACATCCGGAAGATGCGACCGGATGTGTTCATCCTTTTCATCATGAATGGCACATATAGCTCACCGTATTTTGTACCGCGGTTCCGGGAGGCGCTGTTCCACTACTCTGCAATGTTTGACATGATGGATGCCACGACCCCACGGGATAGTGATCTGCGCATTCTGGTTGAGCGTGATCCCTTTGGCTGGTGTGCCCAGAATGTCATCGCTTGTGAAGGCTTGGACAGGGTCGAGCGCCCTGAGACATATAAGAAGTGGCGGTTGCGGAGCCACCGGGCAGGGCTGAGAGAGCTGCCATTGGATCTGGATATTGTCAAGGCCGTGTGCGGGAGAGCATCAGGGACAAGTTTCACGAGGACTTTGTCACTGACGTGGATCTTCAGTGGCTCCTGGGAGGGTGGAAGGGACGCATACTCTATGCAATGTCGACATGGGCTGCTGCTGATGCTATCTTAGATTCTTAGCTGCTTTAATTTACTGGATGGATTCAGAGATATAAATAATGGCAGCTATTTATGATTCCTGAGTGTCAGTGCATGCTGAGTGTTGATGATACTGAGCTTCTTTATTTTCTTTTGTTCTTTTGGAGACATGTACAGATGGTGAACTTATGTTAATGTACAACAAGCTGAAGAACATCCCTTCTTTTGTTTTATTGCTGTATGTTATTCTGTGACTGAAAGGAAAATTTGACTCTCATGTGTTGAGATATATGTTTTGTGAAGTTCATTTGGGTTGTGACATGTGTATTTTGGTTCTCCCTTGGAAATGGGTAAGCAGAAGGCTGATTCAGCATTAAAGTTACACATGTTATTCTGAGTATTAACTTCCCATGCCATTTCTACTGAATATTTTCTTTTTTTTCTCAAATAAGCAAAAGATTTGCGTATCATTGTAATTAAGAAGAAAAGGGGTTTAACCATACACACGACACGCTTCTAATGAGTGCCGTAGGAGGTCTTACCGTTTGACTGGACCTTCCTAGCAGACTGTTTCAAACTTCGATATTACATAAAAGTAAACAACCGAACTACGAGCAACGCAATAACCTACGGAGCTGTGCGTCTCCGCTAATGGCCGCGCGACTCTGCTCCGTCATCCGTGAAGAGCCTTGTACCAATCGTAGCAGCGGTCGCCGGGAACAGCTCGTCCAATGCTTCCACTTCGCTCGACGTTCAGTTCCTTGCGAAAAAGTCGCCGTAAGCTCTCTTGGACGCGGATGAGATTGGACCTGTCGGCGGTGCAAAGCCCATCCTCCGCATGAGGAGCACCTCGCCCCGCTTGGAGATCGGAATGTGCGCCAGCGGCTGAGCGGCAATCCGTCTGCTCCGCTTTGGCATGGGTTGCCCTCTGGTTGCCACCTTCTGCCTGGGTGGGCTGGCGATTAGAGGCGGCATTCACTCGAGCTGCACCTCCTCAGTGAACCGAGCGAGACGTCGTGCAGCTTCGCGTGGTGTGGGCATCGCGTCGCTGGGGGTGGTGCAACCCTCTACGACGCCGGGTGCTCCCGCTCGTGGTGGCGTGAGTTGTGGCGGCCCCTGCACTGGCGACATCAGAGACAAGTCTGTCGTCCACTGAGCAGCCGTCGTCGGAGAACATGTGTCCGCCACCGGTGCCTCAACCTCCTGAGGGGCTGCCGTAGCAGGCAGACACTCAGGTGTTGCTGCTCTCATTGGCCGGCTCACGACGAGCGAGGCGGCGAGCTCCTCCAGCATCGGGGCGAAAGAGATGACCAATGCGGGGGCCCTACACTCACGCACAGCGCCAGCGCCACCGGATCTAGCTCGGGGAAGCTTAGTGCATCAGTAGAAGTAGGTGCCCTGTCAGCGTGGTCGGCAGGCGCACCTGTGCCGATCTCCTTCGGCTTAGTCTTGTGTCGCCGATGTTGTCGTCATCTCCTACCGGTGCCCCCACGCCCCCCGGTGCGGTACCCCTCGCACCGCCGCGCGGCGCGTGCTGGGAGGACGTAGGGTCGACGCGAGCAGAATACCGTGGCAGGTCGGCACCCACCGCCGCCGAGGTCGAAGCAGTCCTTCGCCTGCAGTCGTTGACGAGGTGCCCGAATCCACGATAGCGCAGGCAACGCCGTGGCAACCGACAAGTCGCTACTCGGTGCGAGTAGGAGAGGCAGTTGAAGCATCTGCTGTGAAGCTCTGCCGGGATCTTCTTGACCTGCGAGAGTTGCCCTTGGCTGGGGCGAGGCTCCGTCGAGGCAGCACCAGTAGATCCTAAGACCTGCCGGGGGAGAATCTCACGCCACCCATCGGTGTTGGGGGCGGAGACCCGTCCACGACGGCCGAGGCGTTGGCGGGCAGGGACACGGCCGTCCACCGGCCGCACAGGCAAGCCGTTCACCAGCTGCGGGCATGGCCGGCTACGCTTCCTCCGCCTACGGCCATGTCCCTGTCGGCCCCGTTCAGCACCAGCACAGCCGTGCAAAGGCCCTGCTCCGCGGCGCCCCAAAACTGCGGCTGAACGAGTGTGGCGGCGCACGGGGAACGGTGAGGCCGGCATCGCCGGGCGACGAGTGGCCTCCAGGTATGTCGCGGATTGGTCGTCATCGGTCTCCTCGTCGTCGTCGTCCGCCCACCGCCGGCTCTTCGAACGCCCTCCCGAAGAGCATCCGGGGAAGAACGGTGCCGCAGCCGGCGAGAGCGACGCCGTGACGGTACCCCAGGGCCTATACTGAATATTTTCCCTTAATCCTTTCATTCAGGCAGGTACAGCTGAAGGAGGTGGTTATCCAACGAGTGCAGGAGGTCCTCTCCTGCCGGATCGAGGGCTTCCCGAGCCGATATCTGGGAATTCCACTCTCCATCTTCAGGCTAAAACGGGGTGACGAGCAGGCTATCATCGACGCGGTGGCTGCCCGCATCCCACATTGGAAAGGGAGCATGCTCAACGTCGCCGGCAGGACAGCTCTTGTCAAAGCCACCCTCTCGGCCATACCTGTGCACACCTCCATTGCGCTTTGCCTTTCTTCTTGGGCAATCGAGTGCATCGACAAGTTGCGCAGAGCTTTCATATGGTCTGGCTCAGACTCCGTTGCTGGTGGCCGATGCAAGGTCGCCTGGGAAACTGTTTGCAGGCCTCGCGAGCTGGGGGGGCTTGGCGTAGCTGATCTTCGGTGCACGGGGGTGACGCACGGTGGTCGCAATCTTCACGGCGGCCACCGTCTCGGCGCTAGGAAATGGCGAGACCACTCTCTTCTGGATGGATAACTGGCTACAAGGCTCCTGCATCAGTAGCCTGGCGCTGGCGGTCTTTGCTGCTGTCCCCAAGCGGCGACGATCCGCCACTGTCGCGGAGGCCCTTCAGGGGAGGGCCTGGGTTCACCACATTGCCGGGCCGCGAACGATGAGGCTCCTCATAGAATTCATCGGCCTTTGTGCCATGGTGGAGCAGGTGCACCTGATGACACCGGGCGTGCCGGACACTTTTAACTGGAGGCTTAGTGCGGACCGGCAGTACTCCGCGTCGTTGGCATACGGCGCAATGTTCGTCGGCTCGTCGATGCCGCTCGGGGCCAAGCTGATCTGGAAGACCTCGGCGCCACCACAGGTCAAGTTCTTCTGGCTCGTCATGCATGGACGCTGCTGGACGGCGCAAAGAAGACGCCGCCATGGGCTGCAGGACAGCGACGCTTGCGTCATCTGCGACCAGGCCGTCGAAACGATGGATCACATCATCCTTGGCTGCGTTTTCACTTTTCAGTAGATAGGTATGAGCTTCATGTCTGAGAAGGTTCCTTCTCCATGATCTAGTGGCCGTCCAGGAGGAAGACACAATATGCTGGTGGGTTAACTCGAGGAGACGGCTGCCCAAGGAACTCCGTCGTGGTTTTGACTCCCTCTTTCTCCTTGTCGGCTGGCAACTTTGGAAGGAGAGGAATGCGAGGACCTTCAACAGAATGGCCTCGTCACCGGCGCAGGTCCTTGAGGTCATCGAGCAAGATGTTGCCATATGGTGCGCTGCCGGATACAAGCATCTAGGGACGCTTGACTCGGGACGCAAATTTGGTTTTCATGTAATTACAAGCGCGTGCGAGTGTTTGAGGGCTGGGTTCGGTGGGTTTTGGTAATCTTCGGTTTACTGTAATCCTGATTTTGTAACAAAACTTTCTCTTTTGCTTAATGAAAAACGTGCCGTGGCACGAAAAAAAAAAAAGATTCAACATTACACTACCACAAAACAAGTCACTGCACAATGTAAAAAATCATCATGTGAGATGGTTTTTGAAGCGTCTGGTCTAGAGGGTAGAGGAGATGTTGGTAATGGCAACTGTTCAAATGTTTCTGACTTCCTGTGAATGAACTCCTTAACCTACTAGGTGTGTCCGGTTAGTTGTTTGTCTAATGGAAATCTGTGCTATGTGATTGATATATACTTGATATTTCGTTCCCTGGTTGAGTGCTGAACCTGAACCTAAAAACTGATGTAAAGACTTGTCCTGGTATTTGGCTCTCTGGAACTATAGAAAAAAAAATGAATGAACTCTTAGAACTGCTCGGCAGCTGTGGTTCATTCTTGCAAGATGGCTTAGACTAGAGATGGAATTTATAGTGACACACTGGTTTTTGTGTGTGGACATTTCTGCATCTTCATCGAAGTCTCAGTTCCCAGGAAGTTTATACTGAATACTCCTACTTTCCACCATTTTCTCATTCAAGAAGGTACAACTGAAAGTGTTGACTGTGTTATTTCTGCAACTCGTAGATGGCTGGCCTCTGCTCGATGATGCATAAATGCATCATATGAATCATACAGTTGTGAAAATTATGATGTGACGTTTTCTGCACATAGATGGACACCTTGTCGAGTCTTTAAGTTTGCAATGACCCTCATCATATACCTTCCATCTTACTGATACCGAGTTATTGGTGAAGAGTAGTAAGGTCAACTGCTGGAAATTTGCATACCCGCTGTCTGTTTTTGTGGCCTGATGGAATCTATTGAGCCTGATTACAGAATCTTGTTGGAGTTTGATGTGAGTTATTGTACCCTGATTACAGAATCTGGTTGGATTAGAATATATTGAGCCTCCATAGCACCACATTGTCCTCGAATACGCTTAGTTTTTGTGGTATGATCGTTGTAGCATCTAGCAATATAGTATGCATTTCTATTTCATGTATGTATATTTGTTCACTTTTTCAGGTTTGGAGTACCAGAGGTGTTTTTCACCTGTCTATGTACGGAGCTGAGGAGAGAAGCAAAGCATGGAAAATTTGATTATTTCAACCTGGCAGGTGCCATTTCTAGTCTGATTTTTTCTGTGTCTGTGTGTCATTCAGACGCATAAGCAACAGAAACATGCATAGCAATGCTATAGCATATAGTGGAGTCTTGTCTACTGTGTTCATGAAGAACGTGTTGGCCTGTTGGGTGTCCAAGAACAGAGCCTGGTACTCTGTTTGTAAGTGATACAGGCCCATGTTTGAGCAGAGTCGCAGGCT